TGGTGAAGGCACAAAGAGACCGCGCAGTGCATTGCATCGTGGGCGAATGGTATCGCTGCACTCCCTCAATGCCATTCGTTTGAGTGAAGTGAGCCACCTCCTCTCGGCACTAGCAAGGGAAGGTGGGAGACGAAGTGTTGAAAATGTAGGAGAGGCAAGCGAACCGTACCAATCCCACTTGTCTGGGCCTTCAATTGCATTGAGGTGCTTGAAGATGTCGCACGAAACTTGTGGCCATGTGAATCCTTCTGGCAGCAATTGTGATGATGCTGGTGGTGGTGGCGTTGGTTGTGGTGGTGGTGGTGGTGGTGGTGGTGGTCGTCGTCTTCTGCTTATCCCCACCGCGCATTCTACGTCGTACAGCAAACTGCTGCACCGTACTCCCCAACACCACAGCAACAGGAAGGCGCGAAAAGTGAGGCGAAAGGGGGACTGAGTGAGGTGCGATTGACACAAATGCCTTGACGATGGCAAAGAGAGAAGGTAGGCAGTCGCGACCCATTGTTACTCCCTTCTCTTCCATTCTCAGAAGTCGCCATAGGGAGCGTCGCTAACAGCATTGAGGAAGCGCGGTCGTGAGGAGATGCTCTTCTGATTGCTAGTTTAGGATGCCAATTCTCACTTTGATGGAGATAATGCTGGTGGTGCTGGTGCTGATGCTTGTGCTAGTGGTGATGCGAGAATCGGTGCTGAGTGATGAGGGAGGAACTAAATTAATTTTCTGCTAGTAGTGTATCACCAGTGGCAAAGTGAGTAGTCGTACGTCGCGTAAAAAGAGTTTGCTATGAAACCGTGTATGGCACCTGGATGCCGACATCAATTACGTGAGCATGTGACATCGCCTCCTCCTCCACCACCACCACTGTTACCAACGCCACCACTATCACCATCAGTAGTCTACCAGAAGAATGGCACCCGGTAACTGAAGCAGAAACGAGGTGGCATGACAGGATTACCACGACATCTTATACTTCATTTTCGTGTGTCTCCACGTTTGTGGCTTTGCTCGTACCACTGACGAAAACACGCATGCTAACAGGCACATCTCTCCGCCATCCACACCCCAGTCCAC